TGTACGCCTGGCGAGGTCCTTGGCCTCTAGGTTGACTAGATCCGTCATGAGGTCTCGCCAAGTGGTATGGTCTTTGAGTCCTAGCAAGGAGATGTATTCTTTAGGGGCCACTCCCATGACTACATCCATGCAAGACACGTCGGTCATTCCGAGGTTTGGAGTGGTGAACAGACCAGTCAAGTGTTGTTCCAAAGCCTGCATGGAGGTCCTCCATGTTTGGCCCTTGAGGGCCTCAAGCTTCAGCCTTGCCTTGAGCGCAGCGTGTTTATCTTGGTATCGTGTGATGAGAAGGTCCTCAAGAGTGCGTACATGAGTTACTTTCAGCCACTCACTCAGGTCAATCCTCTCATAACCTGCTGTAACAGCTTGGAGTTCTATGAAACTCCGTACGATGGGCTCAGTATTAGTGCCCATGATCATGCTTCGGTCTTCCTGCGGTGTTCGCAGTACCTCGAAGTATGAGTGCATGGAGCTAATCGAAGAGGTGATGTCCCCTTTCCCGTCGTACTTGGACGGCAGAGTGGCCACCCGCTTGTCCACTATGGGACCGCTGTACTGTACGCCAGTAAGGACTGTGGCGTTTTGGGCTGATGTTCCTGCATTTGGGACTATGACCAGTGCAGAACTGCCGGCGCTGCCGCTTGAGGAGCTGGCACCGGTTCCTGCGCTCGTCACAGTTCCACTTGCTCTTGTCATGAGGACTATGTTGGGTTGAGAGACTGGGACTGCAGCAGGTCGAGTGTTAGGAGGACGGGGGGCAGACAGTTGGGACTGTTTATGGCTGACTATCTCAGCCTGCAGCTCTTGATTCCGCTGTTCCAGGGCTGTCACACGGGACTCAAGGTCTTCCAGGGTCCGCAGTCGAACCAAGGCTGCTACGGCAGCAACTATCTTCTCTCGGAACCGGTCATCATTCGATCCCGGAACCGCGAGGAGGGCCGCCTGCTCAGCTATGCTTGTGGCTCTTGCTGCTGCCTCTGCCTCCCTCTCCCTCTCTACGGCATCGTCATAAAGTTTTTGAAAGAACGGTTTCTCGTTCTCGTCTGCTGCGTCCAGCATGGCCTGCCATTGGGCAGATGAGATGTCTGCCATGCTGGAGGAAGGAATGTTAGTAGATCTCTCAAGAGGGGTCCGCTTTCTCCTCACGTTTGGACGAACACTCCTCTTGCCCTTCCTCACGTTCCCAAAAAGAACACCTTCTCTCTCCCTTCTCTCTCTTTCCGCTTCCTGCGCACGCGTCTCAATACCGGACATAGATAGTTCAGACAAAAGTAACAAACAGTAAATCACAAAGAGTAGAAGGTAGAACTCCTAGCCGGACCGACCATTCATTTGGACTTACAGAATGGCATGCAGCAGAAAAAAAAGAATAAAAGAATAAATGGAAGAGAGGACTGACTTATCGAACGGGCCCGATCAGATTAGCTGGAGATCCCCTCTTGTCTAACCTGACAAGGTACATGTGCCACAATAAATCAGCCGAAGAAAACTAACTGCAGCAATGGAGATTTCGAGGGGTGCAGAAGGTCGCCGAGCCAGACGCAGGGCAGTATGTGATAACATGCAGTAAGACCAGTCAAGATCCCCTTGATAGGAATGCCCTTGCTAGCCGTATGTCCCCCAAAGAGATGCATTGACCGCAACATTTGGGCTCGAAAGGTCTTGTCCCGTTGGGCCTGGTCCCACTGAGTCCCAAGGTTCCCGAGTAGGTCGTGGACCAGGACCAACAAGATAGGTGTACCAAGTCAGTCCCAAACTGCCTGTACCGGACTGAAAAGGAAAAGACAACTTTCAGCAAGAACTTACCCCTACAGCCATTCAGAAATGAAAAGACATTGCACCGTAGAAAGATATGTCATTTAGAACAGATACATCATCCATCCATCCATCAGGTGAGAAAGCAATCCACATGCTCACACACACAGCCAAGACCTCAGAGAAGAGGAAGAGAGCCCAGCACACCCCAACAGGCCATGAAGCACCAAGCAACCTCCCACGGGCATAACCAGGTCACACAGCACTTTCCTGTGAGGCCTGGCCTCCAAAGATGGATAACGGCTCACCCCGCTCTCTCACAAGTCCTCCTGACCCCTAGCTACCACTACGCGAAGTGTCCTAGCATGACTTAGAGGGCCTTCCTACACCCTTGTTGCAAAGTCGGATCCCCCGTCGATGCCTGAAGACCAAAGTAGCAACTTGCAGCTCTTCGATGCAGATATGGCAGCCTGTGATCAAGTCTCCCTCTTGAGGGGAAGCCCAAAAGTCACTCAATGTCTTCTTGAAGTGCAGATTCCAGGTGCGAGCACCTCTCACTCTCTACTCCCTCTCGCTTACTCCAATCAGCCTCCTTTGTGTCTCACCACCCCATCCAATCACTCAAGCAACCTGGTCAGGTCTGATGTCGACCCTACATGACCTAACCAGGTGGGGGCAGTATCCACATACCTCACTACCCCACTTAACCCTAACTTCCTAACCCTAATCCGAGATTAGGTTAGCCCTAACCTAACTCGGAATAAGTTTTACGGTGACTAGTACCTCCCGCCAGCAAGTAAGTCCGCTCCGATACCAATTGTTACGATCCTGGTCATTTCCAAAGTGCAAATTCACAATGAAAGATAATGCCACCCAAAATGAAAGCACTTCAAAGAGATAGAGACCAGAGAAGAGAGAAAGAAGAAGAAGAAGAAGAAGAAGAAGAAGAAGATGTACATCAGCAAGACCAATGACAATTCCCCCTTCTCTCCACCTTCCTCCTCCTCCTTATTCTTCTCTCAATAATAATAATAACAATGAATGGATGAACCAGAATCAATATCCGAAGTTCCCTCTTAGTGCTGACTCAACAACAACAACAACAACAACAAGAAGTCCACCATAGCTATGGCTTCCCTCCTTCTGCCTCCTCACACATGCATAGGCTATGGCGGACTACTGAGGGTCCTGCCCTCCCGTCCAAAGGACAACCCAAAGCAGCTATGGCGCTGCACTCCTGTCCAAAGGACAACCCAAAGCAGCTATGCTGCTGCTGCTGACTAAGCCGCCATGCCTGACTTTGCCTCGAGCTTCCTTGGTGCGGCACTACCCCAACTGGGGCCTTCCAGATGCAGCGCCCAACAAGGTGATGAAGATGGTGTCTACCATAGCCAGGTATGTGCCTCGCCACTCTCCTCNGCACTACCCCAACTGGGGCCTTCCAGATGCAGCGCCCAACAAGGTGATGAAGATGGTGTCTACCATAGCCAGGTATGTGCCTCGCCACTCTCCTCCTTTGCCCCCTTCTTCCTCCTCCTTAGCCCCCTTCTTCCTCCTCCTCAAGCTGGGCTGCTCACCATAGCCAGGCTGAGCGCCAGCTGCCCTTCACCTCCAAGCAGCGCTGTATCACCCAGCGCTGCGCTCCAGCAGCATGTCGCCAATCCTTGCATACCGCAAATGAGGAGGAGCTACTTGCTCCTCCGAAAGATATAGCGGCCTACTGGCCTCCTGGGCGGTGACTTCCTAGGCCGAGCGGCCTCCGAGCAACCGGTACCTCCTCCGTTTCGGAGGGAAACATCATTGCAGGCTCTGCTAACCTCCGGACAGGCCCTAGACCGGGGCTACTTGGACTGGTACCGGCCTACCTCTAGCCTACTGCTACTGGGCCTCTAAAAATGCCAACCTTTTGTCTTCTTCTGCTCGGCCTCCAGTACCCGACACTTCTACCACTAGTTCAGTGGTACCGGCCTACCTGCTACTTGAGTGTTTTTCCCCTCTGCTCTAAGTGCCGCGGGCCTACCCCCGCTACTCGAGTGTTTTCCCCCCTGCAATCCTTCAAAGTCACGTTCACAGGTAAGTACCGGCCCTGCGGGGCCTTTCAACCAACAAGTACCCTTGCGGGTCACACACACACTAAGCCAACAAGCACTCAGACAGCCATGCAAACCAGCAGGCACGCACACACACACAGACATGGAAATCACAGCAGAATGCGGGAATCTCAGCAAGGCATTCATTCCAGCGGCAAATCCCAGAAATCAGCAGTGTTCTCAGTCTGTGTTTTTGGCGGGTCATTACAATAATAACTTTTTAATAAGATACATCAATTACACACACGTACCCTTCTGTTTGGGCGAAAGACCCCTGACCAGCATTGATTGCACCATGTTACAGGAGGATTGACCGTCAGCTTGCCCTTCTCATGTATTCCTCTCAGGTTCCTTACGTGGACCTGTCAGCTTTGGGTATTCACATCAAGAATCACAAGAAGGCATCCTTTCTTCGCCTCCTACTTCCGTGCTGGAGTTCATCAAAACGTCCTGTCATGGAATATCAGAGGGGGCGGAAAAAAAAGAGGAACTGACGCCCTTATGCGTGACATTGCCTGTTGCCAAGTTCAGACAAATGTCAAGTCGAACACAGATGAATTTTCATAATTTCAATTTGATGAAGTTGCGCTTTTTCAAGTTTTTTTGTTACGAACCTTTTATAGTGCTTAAAACAAAGGAAAAAAAAAAGAAAACAAAACATTTATAGTGCTCCAATCTTTCAAGTCGTGGATTCTTTTCAATCGACGGGCTGCGAGGCCTTGTAAATCCTACTGTTCAGCGTCCATGCCCATGTACCTCCTGCTGTCTGCAATTATGCCTGCTGCTGCCCTTGTCGCTTGTACATAAAATAAAGCAGTGTTGTGAATGTATACGACCTGTCTTTTTCGGGTCTAATACGGTCAGGATGACGGTGCGTCGTGTTTCGGGGAATTCGAACATGAAATAAAGCATTGCCGTGAATGTATACATCCCATCTTTTTGGTCTGATACGGTCATGATGAGAGTGCGTTGTGTTTCGGGGAACATCGTAGGTGACAACGCCTGCAGCTTCCTTTCCTTTAATTGGGTAAAAAGTTAAAAACATGGCTTTGCCGTTGCTGTATGTGAGGCTGTTGATTAGTGCTGTCAGCCCCTTCTTCACGTTTTGGGAATTGGAATTGACATTGAGTGGGATTGTCCTTTTGCATGCTGCAGAATAGGAAAAGGCGAGAGGAGAAGTGTGAGAGTGGTGATAATGGGTCAGAGAATGGTGAGATGAGGGAGAAGGGCAATGGTGGGGAAGTGCAGGGTGGCGCAGAGCATCCCCTTCCGAAACGTGCACGCTTGGACGAGAAACGGGAAGGCCAAGAAATCGCCGAGAAGGAGGTGGATGAGCGGCGAAGTGGAGATGCAGCAGACCAGGCTGGGGCGGGCCAAACGCCAAAGGCATCGAAACGGAAACGAATGGAGCAAGCGTCACCAGGCGCTACAGATGATGAGGACAGAGTGGGAGAGAAACCGGCAGAGGAGCAGAGTAAGAAAGTTGGTTCTATCCAAGATGACGAAGCGAAGCATGAAGGAGCCAAAAGGAAGAGAGAAAGTCCTCAGTTTCAGCCAGAGAAAAGATCTACGCCACCTCAGAAGGTGTGTCTAGTCTTGGAGGACTCCCTGGTCTGCCCCTCCCCCTCTAATGATTCTCCTACGCATGGATTTCCTGAACTTCATTCTCTGCGTTCATTGAGTTCTGTGTCTTATTTTTTCTCACAGTATTGTAGGAATTTGTAGCATAAAAAAACTCATCGCTAGCCAGTATTCTCTCCCATATCCGTCTTGATCTCTGTCTGGTTGTAACAAGGTGGTCTGCAGAAATGCAATTGGGAATTGTGAATCTCTTTCCGCAGTTTCTTACAGAATCATAGCAAGTATCTGATCCTTACGCACAAATGGTGGTTGCGCTCCCCCTCCAATGCTTCTGCCACACATGGATTTGGTCTGCAGAAATGCAGTTGGGAATCACGAATCTCTTTCCGCAGTTTCTGATAGAATCATAGCAAGTATCTGATCCTGATGCACGAATGGTGGTTGCACTGGTCCTGATCACACTGCCGCATCGGTCCATTCTGAGGATGTCATTAGAGAATCAGCAAATGAAACTCGATCCTTATCGAACAAGATTCCCAATGCTTATGGGGGTTCCCTCCCATCGAGCGTCCTGGTGGCTGTGCTTACGGCTTGCACAGTTGGGAAGGGGGGGTCGCTGAGTGACTGGGTACGATTGGGAGTCTCCCAGCTTGGAATCCCCTTGCTTTGCCCTGGGTGTGTCGTGGGAGTGTGATTAAAGCACTGGCCGCCAGGGTAGGGCCTGCCTATACCTCAGCCTGCACGACATTTTAAATATGACAAATAAACAAAAGAAAAGTGGCACCCTTTACCCCAAACCCCGATCTCGGTGTTTGCGTGCGCTGTGCTGGCCCCTGCCAAAGCATTGGACTTAGCGCAAGTTATTCTCCAGTCGCAGCCTGTCTCATTTTCAAAGGCTGACAGCTCTTGACATACTTGTGTCCTCCTGCCTTATTTTGCAGACGCCTGGTGGGAAGGAGTATGGCGAAGAGCTGGTTGGGCGACGCGTCAAAGTGTGGTGGCCGCAAGACAAACAGTGAGTCATTACTTCTTTTTTTTTTTTTTTTCTTGAAAATTTGGACCGTTTCTCGATTCATGCGTGTCATCCTTGCGCCGGGGCCATGCTAATCTTCTCTGTATCGTTCCAATTTTAACGGATGTCCCGAAGGACAATGAGTCATTACTTTTAGTAAGTTTTTACATTTAATAATTTTAATTCATGTTCATCTGGCTGGTACTACTATACTAGGATTCAAACTCGTAATCTGTTTATTAACATGTACCACTCAGCGACCTGCGGTCATGGATAGTCTGGGTAACTGGCGTGAAGGATGGGTGGCTCTGAAACTGGAGAGGATGGGTGGCTCTGAAACTGGAGAGGATGGGTGGCTCTGAAACTGGAGAACCAGAGGTGCATGCTCACACAAGGACTTTCTGAGATGTATTTGACCATGATTGCTGCCATATTCTGTCCAAAAAGTGCAAGCGTGAATGTCGCCTAAAGCGTCAGTAGCCAAATCGGAGAGGTTAGGTAATCATGGAAGCGTGAAGAACTCGCAGCTGAATATATGGGGGTTGGCAAATTTGGCTGGGACGTAGAGGCGTGAGATGTATCTGAGCATAATTGCAGCCAGATTCTGTCGAAAATTGCGAGCGTGAATGTCGCCTAGAGCGTCCGTGTCCAAATAGGAGAGGTTAGGTATTCATGGAAGCGTGAAGGACTCGCATCGGAGTACATGAGGTTCGGCGACGCAGTGGGATGATGGTTTAATGGGAGAAGAACGTCGCTGCCAGCTAACCACATCTGCAACTGAGCAATTGCCACTACCATCTTCACTTTAGTAGAACGCCTGGTCATCACCACCGTATCTAGACAGCCAGTAGGCACAATTACAACTATAATGACCGGTCACTCTAACCGAAAGAAGTTCTTTGATGCCAAGTTCTTCAAAGGTATGAAAAGCTGGAGGACTTTGTACCATCCACTCAAGTGTAGTTGAATTTGGCTCAACTTCCCAAGGCGCTTTCGGAGCGCTCATTTCACTGGTTAAAGTGAGATAAGCAACCACAAAAAAAACCTGAAATTCCTACAACAGAAAGATAAGAGCCAAAACTTGGCTATGGTATATGCTGCCGAAATCAAGCTTCGCTCATGGGCCAAGGTCTTTGCTATAGTAGGCAAAGACCTAAAGAAGGATTAAGAAAGCATGCAATGGCTGGTAACCAGATTCCGAAATCCAGACTCCCAGCTCGTTTACTCTTTTGAGCCATATTTCTTCACAGAGGCTCGCTTGAGCATAAAGGTCTGGCCAGCGTGGTTGGAGACACTCGAAGAGACTCGCCAGAGGTGTAACTGTAGTAAGATACTAAGATCTCAGTTCCATGATAACCCATTTCAGAATGTACCTTGTTGTCGCACGCGCAGGTGCTACTAATAGGAACACTTACTGTCAGTTGCCCAGTGTGCACAGCCCATTGCAGATCATGCCCGCACTACCAGATGCGATCTGCCTGGGGCATTTCTGGGTATAAGTTCTTGGAAATGGAAACTGTGGAATTTCAGATGCAGTTAGTGGCCGTAGTATTCTTTCATTCTTGCTTGCGGGAGGTTATAAACCACCAGATGCGATCTGCCCAATCTGTAGGGCCCTTCCGAGGCAATTGTTTGTACAATCTGTGGGGCCCTTACGGTCCGCATAACGCCCGTCCTCCCAGCAAAGGCGCTGTGTCGGGCATGCTGGATATTTTGCGAAAGGCCTGTTGAATCAGCCCTTAGCACCTGAGGACCCAATGTCTCAAGCACTGCTTTGGAACGAAATGGCTGGGAAACATACTGGTGGTTTAGTGGATGCTGCATCCCTTTAACTTGGTTTCTTCGAGATTTTACCAATCTGGCTTCCAAGTGAGCTTAACTCTGAGGTCCAACCCACTTCACCAGTGTCTTGCTGAGGTTATGTGAGTTGCCAATGTTTAATAGAGAGATGTAACTGAGGTTTGCCAGAAATGTTGACTGAGGTTGAAGTACTTCGTACCTGTGTAAAGTACACTAGTCATCTTGTCAGGGCACACTCCCCCTTAATACTTTTTCAACTGAATCTGACTTGAATTACAACAAGATTCATTTGAGGAAGTCCTACGCCACTGAGGAGTTTCTGGTTTTGAACTTTGAAGTTTGAAGTCGAAAGACCTGGTGTTCCACTTGCTTTTTGGCTTTGCTAAGTCTGCTGTGACTACTGCTTTTTCAGGGTTCTTGATCTGCCAGCTATCTAGAACTGGCAAGCCGATTGCAAAATGGACATCCAATTATCAAAATCTTCTGATCACAGAAAGCCAACCCAGCCAGGGGATGATTACCTGGATGTTGGTGTCTGTGTGGACCTGCCCGCGGAGGATCTCGTGGATGTCCCACGAGCTATACAGTGTAAGTCCTTGCTGCAACTGTGCTGGGGTGGGTTGAATGTCACGACTGGTATGCCTTCAGTTTTGAACTCTGGGTCACTGTTGCAGTGGTAAAGGCATCCGCGGCTTATACGGCCGAGGTCACCGGTTCGGTTCCGTCTGGCCGCGGAGTTTGATCCTGGCTGCTGTTCCCAGTTGGACAGTTGGACAATCCAAGTTGCCGCACTGTTTTTTTCAGAAGGGCAGCAGCCTTGACGTCTCATCGTCGAATTGAGTGGGGCCAGGTAGTTCAAAGCTATAATTTCAGTCACTTTAGTCTGTCAGTAGTCCTGCTTATCAACAGTCTGAACGACGTTCTTCTCCCTCGAACCTAACCATAAACAATTCTGAGTAATCCTGACTCTTCTGTACTTGGTTAACGTGGCTCTTCTTCTCCTCCCTAATCCTCAGTAACCGTATCTCTTCTTTCCTCTAAACAGGAGGCCCTGTCATAATGCACACATAATCCTGACCCTCTGGGATAGGGACACATTTAACTGTACGCACGTGCATGATGACGGGGTGAGGAGTTTGGAGAAAAGAAGATAGTATCTATTGGTCGGTAGTTCTTCTGACAGACTTTGTGCTGCCATTTTCAGGTTCTACACGGGGCAAGTGATGTCATACAATCCTACCACAAAGAAACATGAGGTAAGCAGCTCGATCCCCAGTAAATGTGCTTCCTAGTCAGTCCCTATTTTGTTCTTTTCATGGTGTCGACTGGGCTATGGCTGTGCTCAAGATGCATGAACTTCTGAATGCAGATCAGGGTCAGATTCATTCTGAGATTCCTCGATACTTCTCTCTCCATTTCCTCCATTCTTCCCTCCACTCCTCCCTCTTGCAATGAAGTTACTAACACATAAGGAAGTTGTAATCAGGAGGAGGAGGAGGAGGAGAAGAAGAAAGAAGAAGAAGCCGACGAAGAAGACAAAGAAGATGAAGAGAAGAGAGGAGAAGAAAACGAGCAAGAGGAAGAGGAAGAAGAAGAAACAACTCCAAGCAAGGGGAAGGTGAATGTGCACTCTTGCCCATTTCCGTACATGTACTCTCAATTCTGCAGGTCCTTGATTCGCGTCAATTTCTATTGCTTGACGATTGCGGTTTTACATTGTACAAGTCGCAGCTCATGTTAGTTACTTGTTTTACATACAACTTTGTTGTTGCGTCTTCGAACTTTCTCATCTCACCGCTGTCTGAGGAAGTGCAGTCGTTTGTGGGTCTTGATAGGCGCTCTCCTCCTCCCTTTAAAGAAGCACTAGAATTCCAAGAAGAACAAGAAGGAAACAGAGAAAGACAAGAAAAGATGAAGGTTGATTAAGAGACGGTTATCCTTAATGCACAGCATGTAGGCTGGCGGCGACCATCTTCACCCGAACAGAATGCCCAGTCATTATAGCCCCATTTGGGTCAAGTTGTGGTGCAGATACAGCGATAATGACCAGGCGTTCTATCCGGGTGAAGACGGTAGGAGGCATGTGAGAAAGTATGCGCATTGACCAGGCAGGCTGTGCTAGAGGATGATGTGCTTCATGTCTGCAATGGGTCTGTATGTGGCCTTGCTTCTGTTATGTTGTTCTCCTATTCTGGAAAGGTGGCATATGATGATGGAGATAGCGAACTACTAAAGATGGACAAGCAGAGGTTCGCATTGCTTGACGTCAACCCAAGCAAGCTACAAGTTTCTCCGAAGAATGGAGAGAGCGAAATGGCCTCCAGGGTGTCAGCAGAAGCAGGAACACCTTTGCCTCCAGCAGCGGCCGTGGGGAGCGGGAAGGGCTCTTCCCAGCAAGAAGAGCAGCAGAATGTGGGCCAGGGCTCGGACCAGACTGGCTCCAGTCATGAGGCAGCAGCGGGGAAAAAGGCAAGTGCAGCTGTGCTGTTCTGTCTGTCAAGGCACTAACCCGCTGTTTAAACCACCAGTTTGCAGCAGGCGCAGCTGCACTTTGGCCGGTGCATGCAAAGGTTGCGCTTTCGATGTGCCGGCATGCCTGCAGCGAGTTCAATTCACACTGAATGGGAAAATGTGAGACGTGGACACGGAGGCCCGCAGCGAACTGGTGGTTGAACTAAGGGCACACCCTTGCACCGGCTCTCAATTGTTTAAGAAATTGGCAGTCATTATGGTCTTGCCTGGCATATATTGTTCCCATTCCACTCACCACACGGAGACCCAAATCAACTCCACTTTTCACTTTGAAATGCATGATGCTGAAGCGCTTTTTTTCTTCTTTTTCTTTTTTTCAAGGATGGTGAAGCTGATAAGCATTCCAAATTCCAAGAGGTACGACGTTTTGCTTTCGTTCTTAGACTACAAATCTCTCTCTCTCTCCCCCCCCCTCTCTCTCTCTCTCTCTCTCTCTCTCCCTCTCTCTCTCTCTCTCTCTTCTCTCTCTCTCAGCCCGTGCATGCTTGCTAATGTTCTACCCTCCTTCCATCTTTTGCTGAACTTACCTGAAGGACGATGTTGTGCATTCATTTAGTGTTTCACACGGAACTCGTCATTTTCACACCACAAGGGGCGTGCTCTTGCTTGCTTGTTTTCGGCCTTTATGCCCCGTTTGTCTCAACTTATTTCAATAATGATTTCACTCATTCATTTAGTCTTTTTCTATTCTATCATTTTGTAAAATTTCAAATTTCAAATTTGTCATTTTCACATGACAAGTGAGGTGTCCGAACAAACCAGTGGATGGAAGTTAGGAATAGCTAAACATGTGCCAGACCTGTTTCTGGAAGCAAGGAAAAGCCAAACATGTGCCAGACCTGTTTCTGAGTGTTAGGACTCTTAGGAGTAGCCAAACCCTCTGCCAGACCTGTTTTTCGAGTGTGGCTGACGCTCGCCGGTTACCAAATTGGAATTTTCTTAGTCTCTCCTCAAAGGTGGTGGTTTAAACTAACCACTGTATTTCATGGTCTGCTCCTGGACTCCAGGGGACCATGCACTGGTCCTGGTGGCCAATTGGATCACATGTTCAATGGTGGGAAAAAATTCCAGCGACCTCACGCTGTGCAGTGCAGAGGCAATGGTGGTTTCAACCACCACTACGTATCCCAGGCAACTCCAATAATTGAAAATGTAAAATTCCGGGTTCTTTGGAGGCCGGGCACTACCGGACCATAATGGCTGGTGGTGCCAACCGAAAGAATAAAAAAAGATGCCTTATGTGATTTGCATGAGCTCCTGTCGGAGACTTGCGCGCACTGTTAATAATGTCTTCTCTCTCTCTCTCTCTCTCTCTCTCTCTCTCTCTCTCTCTCTCTCTCTCTCTCTCTCTCTCTCTCTCTCTCTCTCTCTCTCAAAATGTATGAATTGGAGTTTCTCTCACGGTCGTCCAAGTGAGTTGAAAACTGACATCTTATGTGC